AGGACTTGTCCGGGCTCACAGCCATTGCAGTCGGTGTCTGCGCAGGGTAATTCCTTGTACGACTGATTTCACACCTGGAGTCTATCTCTTTATAGATGTCTAAATTTGGAAGGGGAAATGATTACCGTAGCAGAGGTTGTATTAGATGGAGTAGAAACTTGCTATTTTATAAGGGCTTCTGGTCCTTCTGCACTGAAGGCTTTAGGGAGGGAGGAGGGGGTAGCAGTGACTGGGGACGAGGCGACATCCCAGAGCATCTCCCCTACTCGATTCATTTGCAGTTAGCGCCAGTGGTTCTCAGCTGCTATTTAGAGGACTCGCATTTCATTTCTCAGTCCCACTTCTCTCCTCCTCCTTCAGCCGGGAAGCTCGGAGGAGGCACAACAACCTGGCTGCCTTCCTCCGCTTTCCTTATGATGGGTCTGGCAGGGTGTGCTTGGCCACAGCTTTTGCCAGAGCTTTCTTCTCATACAAAAATGTGCTGAGGAACTTCATCGACAGCAGACACTGTCCTGCCCGTGAAGATTTACAGCGTAGCCCATAGGAAAGGATGGTCCCTGCTCCCTGGCTGCACTGCAAACCACGCTGCCTTATGACCCAGGGCCCTTCGCAGGGATACTAAAATATTGTCCTGCTCTTTTGTTCTGACACTTTCCTCCTCCTCAAATGTAAGATTTTACCATGTTTTGAAACCACAGAGACAGAGATTGAAGGCAGACCTTTGAATTTGTTAAAATTTGACTGCAGGGTTCCTTCCGACCCCTGCGCTAATTTTTAGCAGAGCAGGAAACATTAAAAATAACCATGAGAGAAGATTTCCCAACTCAGAAGGACTGCCCTCTTAATAATCTCTGCCTTCATTTTCACTAGATATTTTCCTCCCTTCAGATTCCTGTAACATTGCTAGAGCAAGTATATCCCTGCCAGCAGCAGTAATGGCACCGGAGGAGGAAGGCAGAGGGCCAGTTAGCCAGGCTGGCACCTGGGCTTGCTCTGAGCAGGGGTGACAGATGTACAGCAGGGTGAAATGCTTATTATTGATTGGAAGAACTTTCGTATGTGAATCGGAGTTTGCAAGCTCCAGGTCTTCCCTTTTTGGCAAACTCGAAACTGTTCCGAAGCCTTCAGCTGATCTCAGTGTTGGGTGAATCTCATTTTTGCAACGAGAGGTGACGTTTTGGAGCTGTATCTCAAGACTTCTGAGCTTCTACTGTGAAACAAAACAAAAAAAAATCAGAATTTGTTTTAAAACATATCTGAATGTAGCCTTTTCCTCTGAAGTTGAAATGTCATGTGGCCAAACCAAGGCGTACAGCAAGAGCACGTGACGTAGTAACAAGCTCTGCTCAAACCCCAACATCTTATCTGACCTCTGTCTGCATTCTCAGCATCGTTGTATAAATAGATATCATTAAATAATAGATCATTAATGTACACCATAACATATATATATTATTTTATAAATAAAGTCCTCACCCAGGCAATGGCAGCGGGGCTGCCCCGTGGTTAGGGTCATTATGCCTGCAGGAACACCATGTGCCTACGTTACTGTTTGTGAGGGGTAAAACCAAGGCGTAAAATTGCCATTATCGCTCAGCCCTGCTCTGTGTCACCAGCTCTCCCCCTAACCCAGCTCCTCCTGCCCTGGCAACCGGAGGGCTCCAGCCAGATGTTGCGGATATGTTTTTCTTTATCAAACTGACAGCAACGTTTCCTATTTTCACTTCAAACGTGGACGATGCCCTGCAGAGCTGTGTCGGCCAAGTGCCAAAGGCCAGCAGTCCTTACTGGTACGTGGTCAGAAAACGAGATCGGAGTTGATTATCAGCTAGGAGTAGCCTCTGACATCCACCGAACGATGTCGGCTGGGACCACATCAGCGTCATCTTCCTCAAAGCACCCAGAATCGATGGGTTTTGTCCTGTTTGGCCCATGCGGTGATGGTTTTGGTCAGAACCACATATTGGGGGAAGTTGATTGAATTTTCTCTCTACCTTGTCTTAAAGCATCAGGTTTGTTCTAAGCAGAAAATTCATCTCCCCTTGATGTAGTGAGCATTTAATTATGTAAAGTGGGATTGTTGTGTGTGTGATTCAGAGTGAAAGGCCTCCGCGATGTTTTCTCTTAGCTGGGCACTGTAATGAAGTGTCTGGAAAACTTACCTTTTTCTTACAGTTTGTGCTGGTCATTTAAGTGGAAGTGATTTTTGTCCCCCTCCCAAATGAAAACTTCTATAGAGGTGGTTTTGACTGGGAGAATAGGGGGTCACTTGTTGTTTTCCTGTTCCTTAGTTATCAAATAAACTAAAGATTGCTTCATCTTTAATTCAAATGACATGGAGCTGAATTGAAATAAAAGACAATAATGATCTCAACACATGGGTGCTCCTGCAAGTTGCAGGCAATCAAGTAAGCAAACCTGGATTTCAGATGCTCTCTCTCCTACTTTACACATGGAATTCTCTGGCTGCTCTCGGAAACCCTGCCCTTGCCCTCGCAGACCTTTGGCTGGGCAGGTAGAGCAGAGTCAATCAAACCTCCAGCCCAGACTGACAAAAGGTTTGAAAGTCTGAGTTAGTGTTGTCCATTCAGCGGTGGAGCTGGCTGAGAGCCCCTTTGAAAGCCTGATGGATATTGTTTCTCTCAAATATTAAATGCTTTCCCTCAAACAAACATCCTTTGAATAGGCCATTGTGTTTTTTTTCTTCTGGATGTCCCTTTGTGGACTGATACAAGAATAGCTAAAAGCTGATGAATTGGTATTGTAAATTAAAGAAAAAAAAAAAAATTCTGGGACTTTCACCCCTTTGAGAAGTTGAATGTGCTGCAAGTTCTCTGCTCAGGTCCCACATCGTGTCCTCTGGAGGTTGGAGAGTTGCATCGGGAGCTTCAGATGAATCACCTCAAACAATCATAGTTTCAGGAAAGAAGCTCCATGGACCCGATGCCTTTCCCAGGTGTTATAATGTAAGGAACTGAGGTGAGATAAGGTATGGAGGGGGTGTTAGGGGAAGTAGTAGTGGTTTGGTTGTGACCTGCAAGCCTTTGCATTAATGGACACAGCTGCATTCATTTGTATTTTTCATTACCGCTGCATGGCAGTTGTGTACCGGTAGTTCCTTATGGAAAACAATACGTGTCACGTGAACAATATAACCTATGTCTGGTTGGTTCACAAATCTTGTGTGTGTGTAAAGAAACCCCCATTTATTTTCAGGTTAACATCTCTTGTACAGGTCCCCCAGTCCTTACAACATAGGTACTGATGCCCTGCCCAGGATTCAGCCGCCTGGATTTCCCTCTTTTTCCTAACGGAGCTGTGTGTCCCCCAGGGCTTCGTATCCCAAGCCCTGTCACCGCAGCCACTGCAGACTCATTTATTCCTTATCGATGGCCAGAGCTGTGAGCTGGAAGGATGCTATTTTTAATGGAACAATTGGGCTTCTCTGCACACCTTTCTCTCTTTTGCTCAATGTCGCTATCACAGATTTAAGCTAAACTAAAAAAGGTTCACCCTAATCGGTTCCCTAAGAAAACACAGAAGACTTTTGATGCTTTATCATTGCATTATACCATAGTCCAAACTACGTTTGCTTTGGTAGGCTCTCCCGGTTTACAGGGCTGTAACGCAGGAAGATGTTTCAGCCCAGCAAGTCTGCAGCAGGAGCCGGGAGGATGCACGTGTGCCACACGCGTGTGGCTGTGCAGGGCGGACGTAGGAGGGAGCGGGTGTTGATCCCAAGGTACTGTTTTGCAGTCGTAGCCCTTGAATTTGCAGTAGGTGGTGACGAGGGTCTGAGCTCTGAGGAGCAGCCAGCCGTGCTGGGTCAGGCTTTGCCGCAGGGATGCAGTGCCCGCTGTTGGGAACAGCCCACGGCTCCCTCCGGAGCGGATCCTCACCCAGCGAAGCCCACATTAGAAATCTGGGGGTGGAAGCTGGTGTCTGAGGGCTTTGCTGACTTGCAACCAGCACGCCATGTCTCTTCAGGAACACTTTGCAGGACTGAGTCATCTTTGGGTTTAAATGAGGGAAAGTTTTAAGTTCTCAGGCGGCAGTTCGTGGATCGGTGGAAATGCTTTTCTGGGATTTACCGTAACTGTTGTGGGCTTCTCTTCATCCCCAGGTGCCTGCGTGCCAGCTCCGGCTGACAGGAGGGGCAGCTTTGGCTTTGTCCGTGGGTCTTAGGGCACCTGTACTTCTCCTCCCACATGCCCCCTTTCTCAAAAACAAGGTTTCCTATGGCCCAACATGTTCAGTGGTTTCATGTTAATTAAGGGCTTACATGGCAGAAATAGTGGGGAAATAATCATTTTTTATGTTGATTTACCATGCATGCCTGCAGCAACCCTAGAAAGGGGGGACCTGGGGAAGAACTGGGGTAACCAAGTGCTTGGTCCTGCAGGTACAAGTGGGCTTCCAGCTTTGTACCACAAAGCACGTAGGTAGCAGCCCACGGGGCAGATGCACCCTTCCTTCCCCCGCAGCAAAACACCCCTTCCCATCAATGAGATTTGCCATTACGGACTGAGGGTGATGGCTGGTGCCCACATCTTGGGTGAAATGGTAGAGTTTCAGCAAGTCCTTCTGCAAAAACAAATGGTTCAAATCCAAGGTTGATGTGAATCACTCCCGGGATCTGCTTAGTTTAACCAAATCAGGCATGTTTTACTGCTGCTTTTTTAGTCTTTATAAACCTCAGGAAGCCCCGAGCGCTGTGCCAGAGCAGTGTCACCTTATCCCTGTCACTAATCCTGTCGCTTCCTTTCACGCTCCTTCATACTCTGCAAGTTGTCTGACGCCTCTTACTGTACTTCTGTGAAACCTTCCTGCTGGATTGCATGGATGAAGGATTAGGTATATAAGTCATATAGCCAAAGAGTGTACCATATGTAAGTAGAGCCTCTTTCAGAGCATGACTGATATTGCTATGTTTGTAAATTGATTTTTTTAATTATTATTATTTCTTTTTTAATAATACTGTCTTTTCCTTCCCTTTTCAGGGGCCTCTTGGTTTGGATGGCAAACCAGTAAGTAGCACCGACTGCCAAACATAACATGTCTTTATTCATGCTGCTCTGCAATAGATAGGCAGAATCTCAACTATTCCTCGTTTATTACTACATATATAACTGTTTAGGAGACAAAATTGCATTTAGGAAAATTACTGTCTGGTCTGTGGCATATGCAAGTTTAGGTTCTGAGCCAGGGCTGGCCGGCACAGCTAGAGGTGAGCTCTTCTTTACCTGTCAGCTCATCTCGGCTGCTTCTCCCCATCTGGCGCCAGCTCGGCTTGCGGAGACTGCAGATGGGCAGCAGGCTAAATTTGGGAAATAAATTTTAGTAGCACCTTGGAAGAAGCAAAGTCAGTAATCTTGGTTGCACGCTCCTGGCACTACAAAGTGGTATCATAAAAATAATTGTTCCCAAACTGGGCTCGTTTGCCTCCGAAGGAGCCCAGGTGGGAACTGTCTGAGAGTACCTGGTGTCCGTGCAATGCTTTGTGGAACAGCCTGGACTTCATCTAAGGAGCTGTTTTCTTGACTTTGTTTTCACTTGGAAACCTTTGGGATACTCGGGTGCTCTAGCCTTTTCTTACCTATTTTACAGAAACACAGACTTTTTTATTTTTGTGCTAGCTGAGCACTAGCCAGCTCTGTTTGCTTTGGCTGGACAGTCGCTGCAGGAGGTCACAGCTCTGTATTTTGTGTCCAAACCCCACTCTATTCCCCCACACTCACGAGGGCACCATTTGAAATCTTTTCAAGCACTGGTACTAAACCAACTGTGATTTTCAAAGCAGGCAAAAGTCATTCAGTCTTTGTAATCAAAAAGTTACTCCAGATACTTATTTTTAGCCAGTTAGGGAGTGTTTCGTTACAGCTGTACATTGCTGTGGTTCGTTTTTTATCCTACCCCTGAAGATGATAAATGTGAATGACAAGAAATCTAGAAACAAAGCATTAGAAAAGAAAAAAGGAAGGCCAGCTCACACTGCTGTGCTCGGGGCTTGGCTTTGAATGAGCAAAACCCTGGGATGGCAGAGCGGTGCGAAGCCCAGCAGCACGCTCCTGTGCCCTTGGCAGGCACGTGGATACGAACGGCTGCGAGCTGTAGATGTGCGCCAGGCAGGAGCGAGACCTCCGAGTAAGAGGCAGGGGAAAATCTCAACGAAAAAGCAAACTTATCAAGCAGGCAGACTCAAACCAGACTGTTCACGATCTCTTCCACGAGAGTAAGGGGCCAGTAGCCATGCTTGGAGCCAAATTAACAGCAGGAGGGATGCTGCGTGAGGATGCAGATGCTGCCACTGTCGGCCTCTCTGCTGACCTTCCCCCACTGCATCCCACTGAGTCCTGCTTCAGCAAACACCATGAATTGGGCTGAACCCCAAGATTCAGTATTTTTCTGTGCTGGAAGGAGGACACAAAGCAGGCACATCAAAGCGTTGCTCTGTGGTTTCTCTTTGGGGCTACAGCATGTCTCTGCCTGCCTGTCTTACAGAAAGCTGCTTCGAGAGAAGATGACTTATGTCTTCAGTAAATAGGCCAAAGAAAGCAGCCCATCTCCTTGTTTATTTCAAACAGATGTATAATTGTTGTAATGATATGCTGAGCATGTGTTTTTCTAGAAGTGATTTAATACTTCAAGAAATCTCTTGCATCTATTTAGTCACATGTTTGCGAGCGGCTGTCACGCTGCCTGCCCTGTCCCAGTCCTTCTCCGGTCCTGTGTCCTGGCAAGAGCAGGCAGGACCTCGCTGGTGCCTTTTGGTAGCGTGCTGCTGGTGGGAAGCAGTGCGTAACTTCAAATGTGAAACTGAAAGTAATAGCGAACGTGGCTCAGGTTTGTGAACTGATGAATGCAGCCTCCTTGGTTTTGATGTTGTGCGTATTAATGATTCTGCTGTTTCTTAACTCTGATCCTTCCTATATATTTCCAGGGACCTCCAGGACCAAAAGGGGAAAAGGTAAAGACTGCTTTAACATGTGGCTTTTGGGGAAGCAGCTGTATATCCCCCTTCTGCTGTAATTCTTCCAGTTCAGGTTATGCCAATACACTAGTATGGCATTACCACTGGGTTTTGTTGGGACACAGAGCTGTGACAGAGGGTTCTCAGGTTGCTCTTGGAAAAGCCTTGGGAAGGGGAGGGCAGAAAGAATTTGCAAATATGTAAGAGGAATAAGTATGGCCTTAAAGCTCATCCCTGCTGTAGGGTTCCTGGTAACCCCTGAAGGGTTAGGAGAGTGGCACACAACTCTCTCCTTGCTTTCCTCCAAGAGCAAGGCTGTGGGCTCCATCGCTCCGTGTTTGCACAACATTCTCCCATGAAATTAGAGCAGCCAAAGAAGGTCATTACTGTACTGAAAGTCCAGTTAATCCTCGCATGTGTAGGACATAAGCAGTTGCTAGGGGGCCATTAGAGTTGGAAACAATCAACTATTTCCGATTTATTATCTGTTTCATCACCTGCCAGGGCAGAATCATTCCCTATTGTGTTGTCTCAAGCCCTTCTCCTCCCTGGTTTTGAATACGTTAAGCAACAGGACTCTTGCCACTTCCCTTGTGTGCTGTTCCCGCGTCCAGCTGACCTTACGCTCGGTCCTTTGTGGTTGAAATTTGAACTCTAATAGCTGACCCTTGCTGTTTTGCATGACGCGCAGGGTGAAGCAGGGAACGTCGGCCCGAGGGTAAGTAGTGACACGGCACATTGATTTATTCTAAAATCTGGTTGGGTTTGGTCAACTGCACAAAACAAGGCTTTGTGCAGCTTTGTCGCTGCAAACTGAGGTACGGTAACAGTTCTGGAAACATTTAATTTTGCAATTGGAGCTCTTTGTGGTGGTGGTTTTCCTAACTTTGACCATGGGGAAACAAGAGTTGAAGACCTTCAGGTACCTCATGAAGGGGGTTTCGCTTTTACTGGACTTTCCTATCCCTGATTCCTTTTTCCAGTGTCAAGAGACAGACTCCATTTTTCTCTTCAAGCTGTGCTCCTTATTTGTTGGCATTAGAACACCAGTACCCAGTGGTAAGACCTGGTGTCCCAGGGAAAGGCTTGGCATGGTGTTGTGCAAGATGGAAAGTTCCTCCTCTCTGGCTGAGCTACCCACCTGGGAGCGTGGCAGCAGGCAGGCAATATCTATGTTGCCTTTGAAAACAAAGGATCTAAAGTAACTGTATGATAAGGGAAAACTCTTTTGGCTATAACATATAGAAATTAATGGAGTTTTATGGAAACAGCTCTCGTAGGGCTGCATGAAGTTGAGATTTACCACAGCTCATCAGGATAGGTCCCCACGGGGCGCAAGGGGACTTGGCTGTCCTACGGTCCCCGCGGCGGTGCTGGGATGGCAGCAGTAGCATGAAGTCTCCCGCGTTGGGGATGAGACGGGAGAGCTCACCATGAGGTGCGTGGTATTTCCGAGGTGGGCTCCGTGGCAGTTATGGAGGTGCGGTTGGCCGTGGCTTATGGGCACCTGCTGGAAACCCCACGATGGGGATGTGCTGGGACACTGGTGTATGGGCCCCATGCAGCGGCTGGATTTGGAGCTGGCACCCAAGGGTCGGCTGGTAGGCTTGTATGTAGTTGCTGGAAACGTAGCCAGGACTTCAGTGGTTAATGTTGGGCAAAGATGCCTCAGAGTCATTTTTCTTTTTTGCTTCTAGAGGCTGTTAAGTTACTTTTTGAAGCTGGTGTCATGTTGTGAAGCAGCTCCCAACCACCTTGGGTGCGTTTGGAAATATTACCCTTGGGCTCTGAGAGCCCCTAAAATTTCTCTGATAGATTTATGCCCTGCGTGGCTGAGGGGCTGGGTGTAAGGGAACCCCCCTCCAGCTGCGGGAGATGCTCTGGGGACAGACTCGGTCTGGGCTCACGGGGGCGAGTGCCAGCTCCCAAGGTAACACTTGTCCTATGTTTTAACACATTGATAAAAATACGTGCTTTTTTTTCTTCTGATCTGCATTTGTCTAGATTTCACTTTACTTTTAGATTATTTTTTTTAATACCTTTTTGCACAAGAGTAAGAAAAAGGCTCAGAAACAATTTGGGAGGACAGAGGGAGAAACAAACCTGGCAGAGCCGTACACAAGTACATTTAAAAACTGGTGCCTTGCTTTGAAAATAACTTCCTTTATGTCTCCAGACACTCGGGGTTGTGGATTTGGATATGAAACTTCTTAATACCATCTGGCCCAGATTATTTTTTATTTCTTAATTTAATCTATCTTCTTCCTCAAGTTTCAGTGGTGGCTTTGTTTGGCTGATTTTGAAAGATGTGTCGCAGCAAGTCATCGCATCAACAGGAGGATGAATAACTAGGGATATATCCAGTGCCACCCCCCCTCGTAAATGCGCTTGTCTATGGGCAGTGGAGTGAGGATAGTGTGTGTCAGTGAACACAAAAATATTATCGTTAGCAATGATAGATTAAAAGAGAGTAACGCTTGGGGCGACTTTGGAGGGACTGTCTGCAGTGGAAGTGAGATGAAGGCCATTAGGGATTAGCTACTGAATATGTTTGTGTCTGCACTGCTGCTTTTTCTGTCTCTAATAAACACCTGCCACCGGCGTGGACAAAAAAGAGGTTATTGCAGATGTGAGCGTGCTAATGGCAGATGTTGGAGGGTGATTTTGGAGAGCTAAGGAAGGAATTCACATCGGGTTATCTTACGTACTGAATGCTGGTTCTTGCAAAGGGCGTTAGGGAGGTTGTTGTGCAGCCTCACCTAATCAGGATGGGGAATAAAGATACTCAAATATACTGACAAAATGCATGCAAGTGTATTTACAGGAGAAACCAAAACCAGATTCCCTCTGCTCTTGGGAGGAAAGAGGGAGTCGAAGCAGGATGCTGCCAAGGCTGGGACTGCTGTGCCCTGATATTTGTGCTTGTACTTCTTTCTTAAAATGAAATATATTGCTACACCTCTGAAAGGGGCTGTTTTTATAAGCCAGACTCACTCTCTGAGCTGGCACTGGGATAATCGCTCTGGATTTATTACCTTAGCTTGGGTGATCTTGTCCCTACTGACGGTTCAGATGTTTAGACAAATGACGGGATTGATGAATCTTTGCACCTCTGGGCTAGTGATGCACAGTGCATGTGGCAGCAGCGCTGGGTTTGCTCTCGAGAGGGAGAAAAGGGGTTTCAACTTGCGAGAGAAATGCTCTTGTCTCCCATGGCCCACGCCTGCTCGGTGGCCAGCGCGATGGAGATGGCACCAGTAAGATCTGCACCTGTATCCTGAGCTGCTGTGGGACTGAACGCTGCCGTGGCTGAACTGGCTTTACGGTGACAGGCTGGAGTTTAGGCTGCAGATAGAAAAGTAGCTTTTTATCTCTTAATTTCTGCAAAAATATAAGTGCTGGCCAAGCTCACGTTGCAGAAAAAAGCTCAGCGCAGAAAGCATCCTGCAGAGCTCAGTGACAGTCAACAGACACCCCTATGGATACTTTTTTTTTAAATTTTATTGTATTTGTTTGCTTATATTGGAACATTGTGTTGGAGTGGCTAAATTGAGTACTCTAAAGTTGGAAATTACCAGTGTTTAAGGTTTCTGTGCTCTAAAACTCTATTGCTACACAGGGTCAGACCCAAGGTCCAATTAACCCAGTGCCCCATGACCAGATGGATCAGGGGAGTGTAAACATGGAGCAGGAACATGTAACCCCATCGCACTTAACTGCTCTCTTGGAGCCTGGTTATCTATGGCCCAGACGTTTCCTGGGCCAAAGGTGGTGTCTTTGTATTTAATAGCCCTCAGGACTGTTCACTTTTCATGGGCCCATCTGTAACAGGGATTGTTTAAAATTAGATGTGCGATGGCTGGATTGGATGGCTATGGGTTGTTCGGCCTCGGGGCAAATGCAATTTGCTATTTCACATTAAACTAGATAGGGCTGGGCTTGGAAGGTGTTTACTTGGATGGTGCTCAGCAGTTTGAGGGTAAGAAAAAAGTTTCAGTTCCTGTCTCGCTCCTTGGGCTTCTCTGAAAATCCCACTTAATGCTCTTGTGTATCTTTGTGCACATACAAAGCCGTAAAACTAGGTCCTTTGGGTCTACCACAAACCCCTTTGCTCTCAGCAGAGCCTTTTTGGTGGTTTCTGTAGTATCTGGAGGGCCTGGCCAAGCGCAAAGACTCCATGTGTCTGTTAATTTCAATGTGGCATCATCTTGGGTTTTTAAAATCTCAGGATTTCAGCATTGTTCCTCCGCAATGTGTATTTAAGTGAAAGCTGAACTAAAGCCTCTCTCTACAACTTGAAAAAAAAAAAAATCCTTGGGAGGGGTTTATTTTCCAGGGTTGTTTAGTTTTTTCTATCTGACTTTGCTTTTCCTCTCCGTTTCTGAGATGAGTGTGTTAAAAGATTGATGCTTGACGTACATGTGCACGCCTGCTGCTAAGCCTGTCCTGGGAAGCTGAGCGGGAGGTGGGCTTGCCTATGCAATATTTACCCTAAAACTGAGTTGTCTGTTATTTGTGTGAAAGGTTTAAAAGCTCCCTGGGCAATTTGGACAAGAGGTTTGTTCCTTAGAAACCTTCTAAAATCCTCATGGAGGATGTGCTGCGTGTTTCCGCAGGGCTTCTTGTGGCTTCGCTCCATCCCTTTGGTCCTCCTACGGACGTGTGCAGGGATGGACGGGGGAAAGGGAGACGCAAGCAGTGTCCTGAGAAAGGACATGTCTTGCTGCTTCTCCCTGGATAGATAAGTGGAAAGGCTAAAAGACAATAGCAATGACTACTGACATGGTCTGAATACATTGTTTTTGCATCATATAAATCTGAGAGATTTATCTGTAGTTTGCAGGCTGGGGAATACATCAGTATTCATTTTAGTCTCTGAAAAAAATTATAATATTTGGTCTCGGGAGAAAAGCTGGGATATATCCCCTGTGGGATTTACTGGAATAATGCTCTTTATTCTGCAGAAAGCCCTGCAGTAGGGGAATCCTCTGTACCCCAGCTGCTTTGAATGTCCTATTGTGCAAGTAAACTAATGGAAAGATACTTGTTTCCCTCTGCTTACCAAGCTTCAGCGTATCCAGAACGTTAAAACAACCACTGTTGGCCATCTAGATTATTTCTTCTTCGTGCATTAATTATCAAAGAAAAATTGTTATATATTGTTACAGCCTTTAAAACTCTCTCTTCTGCTGTGCTGTCATCTGAAATTCTTGTTCTTTCCTCTTCTGCCTCCCACTTTACCTGGCTAGATGGTTTTTCCTCGCCTCAATCACGGATTTCTGGCTAACGATCAGCTTGTCTTTAGCCGGCGAGTGCTCAAGGTAGACTTGTCAAATCTGCTGCCGCTGGTTTGCTGTGATTCTTTGAGTTGCGTTTGTTTCTTCTTTCTGGCTGATAGTGCACTATTGCTGTTTTAAATTGCCACTACCGTGGGGACGTTCAGAGGTGCTCGTTGGGAGCGTGCTTGAGTAAAACCCCTTCGGAATTTAGGGGGAGTTTTGTCAAAGTAGAGAGATGTAAAAGTGATGGGGTTTAGCCTTTGATCCTTTGTAAGAATTGGGAATCAAACAGCAAATTTCTATAAATGTTGATGTGAACAGTGCTGGTATTGTAAAATAAAACGCATTAAAACTAGAGTTGCCTAAATCCTCGTACTCTAAATATGATGCTTTAATTAGGCAAAATTCAGTGGGAGACTCTTGACATAATTGAATGCAGTGTTTAGCATTTGCAATAGGATTTTTTTTAAAACTATGCAAGTGATTTAGGAGCACAGATCTTGTTGAAAGGCCGTGGGATTTGTGCTGCTAAGTCACTTAAGGACTTCTGAAAAACTCCACACTTGTCCCTGATTTGAGGGTGGACCACATAATAAATACAGTTCTCTTACTGCCTCGGTGGTGACCCTTCTAGATGTCGCTAAAAGATTTACGAGACAGCCTTTCCGTGAGGCTTTCCATTGTGCAGCCGCATGGATGTGCCCGGCCACGGCCCCGGGGCTGGGTGGCGGCAGCCGGCGGTGGGTCGGGAGCTGATAACTGGGTGATGGAGCCCCGTGGGGTGCTCCCCTCCGGAGCAGGCACCTACCAAACCTTCACAACCACACCGAGATACAGCTCCTGCTTTTTTCTTTGCATCCAAGCAACGCAGGGTGTGAGCTACGCTGGATGTTCACGTATGACCTTGGTTGTATTTAAAGGATATGACTAAGTGCTACTTTTTTTTTGGGGTGTGTGGTGCATTAAGCTATGGAAGTGTGTGCATGCTCCATGCCAGCATGTTGTTGGGTCTGGGTTGTTTCTGGGTGCTGTTGAATTGGTAGTTTCCATGCAGACAGTCGATGGGCAAGGGCTTAATAAGATAGAGATAAAACCTTGTTGGAAGGCATTGAGCGAAATCCTGGTTAAGGAACCAGACTCGAAGGACATGAATCAGCTATAAGCTCCCTTCCAGCCTTCCCAGTTAGAAACTGTAACAAAATTCCTCTGGGACAGCAGAGGCCAGGGTGTGATGGCCCAGGGATGCAGTGCATGTGTCGCGGGCACCTCGCAGCCACCGCTTGCCAAGGCTGCTTCATCTCACCATGTCTGTGTGAACTTCTTCCAGGGCGACCAAGGTCGAGATGGAGCCACTGGCCCCCCTGGTCCTCCAGGACCCCCAGGTGCCCGAGGGCCTCCTGGTGACACGGGAAAAGATGGCCCAAGAGGACCTCCAGGCCCCCCCGTAAGGACGGGAGATGCACAGCGAGCACATGCCGGGCAGTTCCCAGCCCAGAGAGGATGAGGAGGGTGAAGGGTATCCCCTTCCCCGGTGCTGCCACCCTAATAACTGGGTCCCTAGCCTGAGCCAGGGGTTGGGCTCTGATGGCTGCTCATACAGCAAAGCTTTGGGGCATGGGGCCAAGGAAGCAGGAGGGGGCCTTCCATCTTCAGTTTTGGAGCAAAGAGCTGGACCCAGAGCATGTATTTGCAGGCACTGGTTATAACTTGGAGAGCCCAGAGGAGATGTCTTCCCCGATCTGTACCCTTCAGACAACCTGTTGCAAATCTCCAGATCGCTGGCAATTTATTTAATAAAAAAAACAGGCTAAAAAGTAATGTTGCTGAACATTCTAATTATTGCTGAGCATTTTGGAGAATGAGGGGTAATAGTTTCAATGTTGGCCTTTTTATTTTTGCAGGGTTTCAAAGGCGAGCCGGGAGAGGACGGCCTCGTGGTTAGTATTGCCCAGAAGCATCCGTGTGTGCGTGCCCCTCACCCCTCCTCGCTTTACATCACCCTTCAGCTCGCTGCAGCAAGTGGGTTTGTGTCGTTGCTTATGGAGGCCAAAAAAACCCCATGGGAGATTACAGATGCCCTACAATGGATGTTGGTCCAGGGGTACCTGTGTCCTGGGGAGAAGAGAGGCCAGTCTTTGTGCCCTTGGCTCTTCTGGAGGGATGGGCTGCTCCTATATCCCCGCTTCTGCCCCTCTGAAGCCTCCCTGGCATTGTAACTCCAATTCACTAAGGTGTAAGTTGGATAAAAAGGTGCTTATTTTACATAAAACATGCAAGCTGTAAAAGAATTTTTATTATTTACTGGGAACACAGAGAACTTACAGGTGTATTTGCAAGGGAAGACAAGAAGTTGGCATCTGTGCCATTTCTTTTCATGGGAATTAAAGTACTCTTGAAAATATTTTTTATCCTGTTATATCGTCAAGCAAGTATACCAACTACTCTTGCACTCAACAGGGTGCCAAGGGACCTCCAGGACCAAAGGTGGGTAATAAGTAGTGTCTTATCTCTCTAATTTTAACGCAAACTCTTGAAATATTGCTGCGTAAGGGGGATGGAGATGAACATATGTATTTTGCACTGGACTTGCACTCATCTGTGTATATCAGATACAAAATTTCTGAGGTATTGCATTAGCCGTTGACTCGGAGCTGCAAATGTCTGAATGCGGCACCTACTCAATATCGCAACCGCTGCCCATGTTAAAACCTTGAAATGGGGGTGGAGGGAGCCACGGGGGGCTGGAAGCTGGTGTGCTGTGGGAATGGACTTTCTTGCATTTTGGGGGGTGGATAAAGTTGATCAACATAAGCCAAGTATTTTAATTTTACAATGTTGACTATCTGTAAAACTGGTCTTATTTTCTGTTATGTCCCTAAACTACTTTCTCCTCTGTGTTTGTTGCTGTTGAAGGGTGAGCCTGGTATCCAAGGGAAAAAGGTAAAATGGTGATTTTGTTTTTTTGATTATTTTTTTTTTTCCCTGTGCTTTGCTGTGCTTAACTAGGGGAACCATTGCCAGAAACCCATGAAGAAGTTGTGGTTGTGGCTGTCCATACCAAGCCCTTCCTTGTGTTCCCCAGGGTTTCTTGCCCATGAGACCCCAAAGCAGGGGCACGGCTGTGCCTGTAGCCTGGTTTTCATTACCGCAAGCAAGCCAGAAGCTCCAATCACATCTCCCCAATAGACAAAGAATAAAATAGCAAATGCCAAACAAAGCAGTAGGTCTTGAGCCTTTCGCTCCAAGAACTCAAGCTGAACCGGGAAGCGCCTGAAGGCCGTTATCTGCCCAGGGACCCCCGGGATGGGCTTGAGGTTCCTGGGACGGGCATCACCACGCAGCACCTCGGTCTTGTGGGGATTGCCCACTCTCCTAAGGACAGGCGTGCTGCTGGGGTCAGGTGGTGAAGACTGTGGGAGATGCATGTGTCTGAGCTCTCCACCTTTTCTTCTGGTGATGCTATCAAGTAGTCGATAAATCACTGCCTTTAACTGAAGCCAAAGCACTGACAGGGCCCAGCCTTTCCATCTTACTGCTTTGCCCCAAAACAGATGTGGCCATGGGTGTTTTTCAGGCCAGAATTTAGTTTAAAAAAATTCGTAACTGGCTAGTAAAATTAACCTCTTCAGCAGCTATGAGGTGGTTTTACTCCAGGAGAACAACAAAGCATGACAAGTGAAACAAGAAAATCTCCTCCTGGCAGATAGGCATGCTGGTGACTTGTGATGAAGCCCATGAGGATGGGTGGCAACTTGCAGGAGGTCTTTGGGACCCCAAAAGCCTAAATGGCTTAAATATCTAATTTCTATTAAAGGTGGGACAGCACCTTCCCCAGGGCCTGCCGTAAGGAAATTCTGGGAGATGTCCATCCACCTCCCCGGGAGCAGGGAAGGCAGATCTGGGTGGGAGCAGGGGACCACTCTGGAGCCTCCTGGGCTCTTTGCAGCTTTCCTCTGGCTTTCTGCAAACCTGAGCGGGTCTCAGGTCTGTGCAACACTCAGTGGGGTCAAATGATATGTTGGATCCTACTGATAAGTGTGTACAAGCTCTTTGTATTTCACTTTTATATTTTATTTCATCAGGGTGACGATGGGATCCCTGGGGAACCAGGACTTATGGGCCCCAAGGTATGTTCTGCTCCGTGTTGACCTAATGTATGTGCTTGGCAGCATCTTTTGCTATCAGGTCCCTTGGCACAGTAGCACAGCTGGGGCAGGCTGAGAAGTACATTTCTCCCTTGACAAGGAAAAAGAACAAAAAAAAAACAGGAGAAAGAGAAGCATAACCCACCCCTCTGCCACGGTAGCTCTGCCCAGTAGTAGTTTGCAAATGCAACGTCCTGTCTATGGCAGAGGATTGCCATTTAGAGGATCCTCTTGCAGAAGTAAATTGGGGAGCGTTGCTGGGGGTGGCCCGGAGCTGGGGTTCGGGATGTGGGTTTGCAGTGCCCGGATCGGGGGGCAGCGGGCTTTCCATGGGAACCTTCTCCAGATGCTGCGGTTTTGGGGCTAGCTTTATGGCTGAACATACCAAACTGTTACGCCTGAAAGCTTCATTTTTATCTCAAAACCTCCCTTTTTGCACCTAGGCAACGTGACGTATTTCAGGCTAAAAGCAGAACTTTGCTCACTGATGTATGTAAAAGTAAAGATAAAGCAAGAAAACTATAACCTGAAGAAATCTGTTCTCCATCCTACCCATGTAGCGTTTGTCGAAATTGTCTTGTTTTCAGGGAGAAAAAGGAAGCATGGGTCCTGAGGGAGAGAACGGCACAGATGGCTTGCCAGGACCCAAGGTAAATAAAAGTCCATTAGCCGGGCCGCTGGGCACAGCACTACTGGGGCAGAGGGTTTCAGCTAAGTAGGTGTTTTAGGCTTTTGCCTTCTAAAAGGCTCATAAAATGCCCAAACTGAAACAAAACAGGGCGATGTTAAGAAGTATTTTACCTTTTCCTGGTGATTTAATGAAAGCTGGATTCAAGCAGAGATCAGTACAACAGGTTTTTAAAGTCATCTCCTTGCATGTTTTTCATTGAATTGCCTCTTTTTGCCCAAGACAGCTAAACCTCTGATCACATTTTGATCCGATGTATTGATGGCTGTGGTATCGCTTCAAAGCCCAGAGCACTTAATGTGTCATTCTGTTCCACGGACCTTCATAACTGCCAAGAAATGCAATAAGACGGTCTTGATATGTTAAGTGGTGACGATGAGACCTGGACAGCATCCGTGGGCCGTTATTTCCCCCTTCAGCTGCTTCTTATTTAGTAGGATCTGTATCCCGTCATGTTTTCTATATCAAACAGTTGTGGCTCCTTGTTGGGCAACAAACTGTATATGATGAAGAAATGTGGGCTCAGGTGACCCTTAGCCATGTTTTTTTTCCTGAAGCCATAGTAGCACTGCTGGTTTTTTTTTCCCCCTGGGATCTGCCAAAATGAGTTTTCCTATGGAAAGTCTTTGCGTTTATACCATTTTTTACTTTTTTTTTTTCCTGGGCTTTAATTTGGCCAGCAAACGGATTTCCATGGGTTTGACAAAAGGTATATTTTATTTTTTTTTGAATCCTAAACTGAATTTCAGGTCACGGCTGTGAGAGTGCTACAGCTTTCCAAAGCTTCCCAAATTTCAAAAAGAAAAAAGAATTTGGCACAGCCCTTATCGTTAAACTCACCCTCAAAAATGGTTTAAATGTGTCTGCTGAAACTTTCCACACACAAAATTCAGCCTAAAGCAAAGAGGGAGCCATGTGAAACTTCAGCACAAAGAGCCGGAGCTTGGCACGCTCGGAGCAGGCAGCGGAGCCGGGGAGCGGGGCGGCACATCGCCGTTACGGGGAGCTCAGCCCCGAGCTGGCCACTCTGCTCCCTCTGCCACCAGACCTTTTTTTACTGTCAACTAGTTCACATCAACATTATTTTTTGCAAAATATATTTGCTCTGAAGTCAAATCTGGTTTTTTTGCTAGGAGAATCAGTTTCTTGTTGATGCCATACTTTTTCTTAATCTAAAACATATCTTGGCATCTCGTGTAGTTACAGTATTTTTAAGATAAATATCCTACTTTTTTATTTGGTCTCTTTGAACCAAAAATGTGATTTTGATTTTCAGGGTGAGCTTTTTTGCAAAATATATTTGCTCTGAAGTCAAATCTGGTTTTTTTGCTAGGAGAATCAGTTTCTTGTTGATGCCATACTTTTTCTTAATCTAAAACATATCTTGGCATCTCGTGTAGTTACAGTATTTTTAAGATAAATATCCTACTTTTTTATTTGGTCTCTTTGAACCAAAAATGTGATTTTGATTTTCAGGGTGAGCCTGGTGAGAAGGGAGGAATTGGCTCCATCGGACCCCGGGTATGGACGTTCAGGGTTTTGCTTTTTCAGTTTGGAGTCGCATATTTGCCTCGACCTGAGCTGTTCCCCACCACCTCTTTCTGCTTCTTACGGGGTTGAATCACTTCAGGATCAGTTCAGTGTTAGAAAATTGAGATGGTGCATATTTAAACAAAAAATATGGAATGCTGTCATGGGAGATAGTTGTGGGAAATGCAGTCAAGTCCGATTTTCTTATCAACATGACCATCCTGTGACCCTTTTTTTGCAAGAGGGAAGCTGTGAATAGGGGTAATCGAGTGAGGATTTCTATGCGCTTCTCCGTTATGCAAATTTATGCCCTTTTGAAGTTTGGTTGGATGACAGTTACAGCTGTCAGACTAGGAATCGATTAAATCGATGGTGTTTGTAAAGTGATAATCCCCAAACACCTGGGTGTCAGGTCTTTGCTTTCATAGCACCTGCTTCTCAGATGCTGCAAAAACTAAGTAGGATTTGTCCCTGGTTGCAGGGTCCCCCCGGCCTGAAAGGGGAACAGGGTGACACCGTAGTGATCGACTACGATGGCCGAATCCTGGATGCGCTCAAGGTAAGCCCCTCTCCAAGACCATGCCGATTCCTGTGGGTTAATGGGAAAGGACCAAAAAAACTGCCGAGCTCTGCCACGGTGACGTTGTGGCACCTTGTCTGTCCCTGTCCTACTTCTCCTTCCCGAGATCTCAGCACAGAGAGCTGGCCAGGAGGGAAGAGCTTATTGCACCTGGGGGCTGAGGATATTTAGGATGTACCAGTAACAATGGTGGGCAAAACTCAAGGCTGTGTGAACTCAGGCTGGGTACCAGGCTCGTGGGATCCAGCTGTGGGATGCGAGTTAATATTCTGCAGGTAAAAGCGACCCGACGCAGCCTGTGACACATGAACACCTGATGCAATGAGTATGAGCAGCCAAATTACAGCTGAAATGCTGCCGGCTGCCGGGTGGTTATTCCCAGAGCACGGTGCAGAGCTGCGGTTTTCACCGCGCATCCTCTAGAGCAGTTTTCTCTGCAAGCAGCGGTTGGGATGCAGGAGGAAGGAAAACAGTGCCCGAGCCCTAACCTGCCTGACCAAGCAGTGCCCTGCCATTTTTGTTAAAACGAAAGAAGCGGAATAGAATAAATACTTAATTACAGACGTATTTGAGAACCATCCCAATTGTTTTATAACAGGCTGCAGGGATACGCAAAGTGATGGTAATTACTGTTTGCCAGATGTCTGCATGGCATGCAGCTTTGTGAGTGGAGTTTGTGGAGTGCAGTGGTTGGAGAGACTCCATCAAACCTCTGGAGATTTCATCTGCTGGGCTCCGACCCTCTCCCATGTTCTGCATGCGGAGATTGCCAAGGAGCACATCACCGAACCTCACTAACTTTGCTGTTTTCCTGCGTATTAGCTGCTTTCGATGTTTTCATACTGACCTGTCTCATGGACAGAGCTTTGGAAAGGCTTCCAGTGTGATTAAATGTAACAGTATACGAGTATGCAGTCATGGAAAAAGGTGCTTGAGGATGGGATGCTGCTTTGTTGGTCAGCTGAGCAAGACCATGAGTTTTGCCGTTTGAGATAATTTGCAAGTTGCAAAATATTTGTCCATCTCAAGGCAGTTCATGGTCTCCGCACCCAGCAGTGCCCAGGAAAAAAAGCTGATTTAAGCGTGCAAGGTTTTCCTGCTGTTAGTGCTCGCACAAACTCCTTCGTCTCCTGCCTTTAATTGCACCTCCCCAGCCGGTTGTCACCGTTTTCAGAAAAAAATTCTCTCCAAGCCAGATGGCTGGAGGGGGGAGAATGCAAAAAGAGACCACCAGATTTGGGGTCACACCTCCAGCTAAAGGCATTTTGCCTCTTAACACACACACACACTGCTGTACCTGTCCACCCGGCTAGCTCTGGTTGTGTTTCTTTTTGCATGGACATCCCTTGTGCCGAAGGGTCCTTGGGTCACTTTGTGTCAGCCTTTTGCATGAACATCCCCTGTGGCGAAGGGTCCTTGGGTCACTTTGTGTCAGCTGAGCTCATCGTGGTGTTTGGGCAGCCCCGGTTACACTGTTGTGTCTGTTGTAGATCTGCTCCCAGCTCATCCACAGCACCACGAGGATAGTGTGCCGTATTCGTATTAGTCATGCTTGTGCCTGTTTTGTTTGCTGTGTTTCAGGGTTCGCCGGGTCCCCCAGGGCCACCAGGCCCCCAAGGCGCTCCAGGTCCCAAGGTGAGCCCGACCTCTGCCATGCAGACGGTGTTTCCTAGAGCGCGACGTGGTCGTTAGCAGCTCTCCATGTAGCCAGCGTCTCCCAAGCCAAAATAAGGCAGGCGATGCTGCCTGTGGAACTTGAGGCTACGCATGGTAAAGGAAGTGCTATTTAACCCTTCCTCTGGCTGAAAAAGGAGGTTTTCACATAAAAGCCAAAGTTTTGTTGACCTGTCTCTGGTCTCCAGCCTCTTCCAGAGGGTGCTGTCCCAGAAACGAATCCCTTCCCAATCCTACACCTGACAGGCGAAATCCCGGCCCCTCCAAGATATCCTCATTGCATGCGGCGGGAGCAGCAGTTGTGAGGAGGGGCTGGCGGTCCCAAAGGCTGTGCCGAGCCGCTCTCCATCCCGCCCTCCCTGTGTGCCACTTACCACCCCGGCACCGTGTCCGAGCGGGACTGTGTTGTCCTCCTGCTTCACAAACAATAGCCAGTAATCTACAGTCAGCTGTAGTTTCTTTAAAAGAATTTAATTTGAAGAAAAGCATCTTTTGAAAGACTGGGATGGGGCAGGATTTCGGTGCCTGTCGAGGTCTCCGTGTCATCCAGATTCGAACAAGCTGGTAATGCTGGCACATCACTGAAACCTCCTTGCTGCTGCTCCTGAGCCTGGCAATGGCAAACCCGTAACCACAATGGTTGATACATGTGAAGAACTCATTTCCTTGAAAATGCTTTCCCGAGATGATCTCTCTGTTTAATTCACCATGGGCTCTCCTTTTTTTGTGTCGCTTCAGGGAGAGCTGGGCTTGCCGGGTCCACCTGGACTGGATGGTGAAAAGGTGCGCGGGGCATAGCTAGATCGAGCGAGACCTTGCAGGAGCTGAGTTAAAAAGGAGTTTACTGTGTGTCCGTGAGAGCTGTCAGTGTGAAAAGCAAATCTCAGCCTGCCAGGAGCACGCTCTGCTCCATAATGTTCAGCTGCATCTCCTTGAATTCATCGCCCTTTGCCTATGGCCCTGCGCTCAGCCCTGAGCATGGAGGGGCTGCTCGTGGCCACCTCTGCCCAGTTAAGGGGGCCTCCTTTTAGGAGTGGTTCATCAGACACCATCTCAAATTTTGTCATAAACCTCCCTGACCCTAAACGGCTGCAGTCCCTGCTACAGCCCAGCCAAATTCTGCTGCGCCCGCAAAATTGGCATATGTAAGTTTTAATGTTAAAACGTTTTCGTAAGCTCGTGCTGCGATATGGAGAGAAACAGCAGAAAGGCAGGAATGGCGGGAGGGGTCTTCTTTTAACGGTTTTCTCCTAAGCAAGTTGTCTTCTGTAAACTTTCAGGGTCCCAAAGGAGCAAAGGGTGACCAGGGCAGCGCGGGGATCACGGGACAGAAAGGAGAGACAGGAGAAATGGGCTTAGCGGGTCCACCGGTACGTCCCTCTGTCCCTGTACGTCTGCTGCTTGGTTCTTTAACGGATTGATTTCTGCATATGCTCAGAATATGGATGGGTTTGCTGATTTAAGTAATGGCCTGTCCACACCGTGTTACTGCGGAGCTGGAGGATGCAGGAGCTCTGAATTTTCTTTGCTGCTGCTAACAGCGTATTCAGAAGGTGATCTAAGGTGGTAGCAAGGAGAAAACCTTTTCTCAAAGTCCCCTGGGGATGAACATGAGCTTTGCTTGAGCCAAGGCTGGAGTTTAGAAGATGACAAATGTATTTTTCTCTCTTGTTTTTGCTTTCCTGGGAGATGCACCACATCCACACCCATGTAACGTTTTTATCTTTTAGGGTGCAGAAGGGCCAAAAGGAGACAAAGGAGAAAAAGGAGACACAGGGTCACCATGTTTGCAGAATAATCATGTAAGGTCTTGGTAACATAAAGCCTCTTCCACGACACGGGGTCAGGCGAAGTCGGGGGTGCAGGCTGGAGCCGCCGCTCCCGTATCCATCGGTGTAGCGGAGGGGAGCAAAAGCCAACTGTTTTCAACCAGAACTTTCACATGCGTCTAAATGGGGTTTATTTGTTGGGGAGAAACGCTTTGCGTAGTCAGCACCGCAAGGTTACTTTAGATTTTGCATTGATGGTTGAGATATTGGATGCTGCCGTTACAATTACATTTTGCTCTAAAAACATACTGGGCTCCTTGCAGTTTTATAGGATTTCTGCATCCTTTTTTACCTTATTTGTGCCTTTTGCTTAAAAAAAAATTAAAAAGTTGTGGGTTTTGATAGATTTTTGTTAATGACATGAGAGCTTTAATTTTATTTTGGGTTTTTGGAGGGTTTTGGATTTTTTTAATCAAAAATGCTGGTTTCCTCCAGTCTGTGCAGAAAATTGCATCATTGTCCATTACATCCATTTTGTGACTGGCAAATACACTGAGTAGCATGGGTCATGCCTCTCATTTCAGAGGCTAGCTTGATTCATGTGCTCATTAAGATTCATTTATTTATAAATACTACAAGCAACTTTTTGATTAGCAGGTATTTTCATTAAAGCCATTAAATCAGAGGGCATTAAATCATGATTCTGAGCCATGTGAGGCTTCCATTCCCGAACTGTGTTCCCTGTGTGCCTACCCTCGTTAATGTGCCATTTAATTCCCTTCTGCAGATCATACCTGAGCCTGGACCCCCGGGATTACCCGGCCCTATGGTAGGACTCTGGAAAGTGGCTTGTGCAATTGAGCTTTGCTGCAGATTTGTTGTCCCATGTGATTAGTTAAGGACAAGGATGGTTTGCTCCATTTAATTGTTGTTGGCTGCTATGAATCTGGGAAGAAAAATCAGGGAAGAGCTACGGCGTTGTGTGCTGTCTTTGGAGAGATGGAAGCACCTGATTTAGGAGAGCACACCAGTGTTTGTGGCACATTTTGCAAATAACCAAGTTGTTCCTTGGGATGGGGAAAAGATAAAACCTTGTGGGATGGGAAAACCTGTTCCCCACCACGATTGTGTCTGTATTTCCATAAATTTGCCCAACTCGGCCAGTTTTTTGCCATCAACTGCAGTGGGAGAGGATGCAGGTGGTGATGAATACACGGAGCATTTTTTGATGCAGGTATCTAAGGTGTTTGGTACCTATGATGCTCCAAAAGCCTGAGGAGCTGTCGAGGGCATCGAGAAGGCCAGGATGCCTCCACTGTGTCCAAGACACACTTTGACAGACCATGGTTCAAAACCAGGCAGCTTTCCAAGCAGCGTTCGTAACCTGGGAAGCGTTCCCAGCCCTGCCCAGGCTCGGGGGGCCGGGTGCTGGCCGGGTGCTGCCCTCCGGAGCTTGCTGTCACTTGCTTCAGCAAAGCTTTTGTGGGGTTCTCGCTCCCCAAAGCTCGTGTCGCAGAGCTTTACTGTTGCATGTGATGCAAAGCGGTCCTTTTCAGTTCCTCTTCCCCCCGATTTGATGTCGGAAAACCAAATAAACTGCCACCTGTCTTGAAAAGAAATATTTGACTGTTGTTGGCCCATAATTTGAGCAAGAAATGGTTTAGGAAGCAAACTTTGGGGTTTGTTTTTAAATTGTTGGTTTTTTTTTTCAAATGCACCATTGTCTTTTCCACAGGGTCCTCCAGGAATCCAGGGGCCTAAAGTAAGTCAATAAATTAAATGTCACCCACTGTTTCCCAGCTGCCAGTGCATTATTTACAGGCTCACAAAGGCCTGTCAGCTCTTGGGACTGATTTTTTTGTCACTGTTTGTGACAACGCATCCCTCGGTTGTGCTGTTCAGCAGCTGGCGTTTTAGAAAACAAGCCATTTTTCCTTCCCAACATATTTACGATCTTAAACACTCCTCCAGCACAGAGTCCTGAGGGCTGGTGGCACACGCAAGTCAGGGTTTCCAAACCCACAGGCTTCAACCTGTATTTTCAACTATTTTCTTATATGATCTGGTCAAGAGGAAAACGTTAACAGCAGCATGGGTATAAGATGTGGTAGGAGGCGGTGGATGTACGGTGGTGGCTGTCCTGGGCAGAGCTGCCAGGTCATCTTGGTTGATGCCGTTTTATTTATGCAGGGCTTGGACGGTGCGAAGGGAGAGAAAGGTGACAGCGGCGAGAAGGGGGACCACGGCGACACTGGACCCGCTGTGAGTCATGGAATCATAGGATGGTTTGGGTTGGAAGGGACCTTAAAGATCATCTAGTTCCAACCTCAATTTTCCCATATCTTAATTCTGGGCATCAACAGAAACATGCCTTACAGCAACTATTCCAACACCTTGTTCTTTTTCCTTTAAGGGTCTCCCGGGTGCTCCAGGGCTCATCGGTTTACCCGGTACCAAAGGAGAGAAGGTAATCATCAGTGTGGGAAAGGAATAGTGATGTGGTATAATCCTCAAATAGGGGCTGTAAAAGCCTGCCATGGTGGGTCCAGCCAGAACTGCAGAGCTGGGCTTACCGGCACCATCCCGATGCATGGCGAGGAGCTCCCCTCAAACCCCAGGGGCTGTGGGGTGAGCCCGTGCAGTCACTACCCTATTTCACCAACTGGATATAAGTTTGCCTGCAACACCAAACTCAATATGGCATGCCTTAATTTTTATTTTTACAACTGCAGGGAAAGCCAGGGGAGCCAGGATTGGATGTAAGTATGGAAAAAGTTCATTGGGATATGTAGAAACTTGAACAACGCACATGTAAAGGCCATCAGATTGCTTGAGATTGTTGGAAAAATGTGTAGCTAACACTGTATAGACTACTCTCCCTTTTAAACACGGTTCCTGTAGGAACGGATTTAATGCAGGCCGGTTGCTGGCCTACTTCTACTGCACAGCAGTAACTGCTCAGCTAAAGATGCCACACAGGGGCTTCCTTTTCCAGTTGAGAATATTTGTATTGGATTCAGTGAAACAAAAATCTCTAATAGCTGTAATGTTACTGGGGTATGGTAAAGCACTAGCTTTCCCAAGAAATTCTGACGTACCAAGTCAACAGCAAGAAAATGTCATGTTCTTCACCATGGGAGGATGGGTTGATTGCTGGAGATTGCTTATGCTGAACTGAGATGCCAGGATGCTAATGCACTAAACTTACAAACCTTTTTGTTTTTTTCTTCCCCACCTAAAAATTGTTGCGATAGGGTTTCCCTGGTCTCAGAGGAGAAAAAGGAGAGAGAAGTGAAAGAGGCGAGAAGGTGAGTGGGTTATGGCTGTAGAGATGCTGGCGGGGGCAGGACAGGCTGCTCTTTTTGGCCAGCAGCGATGCTTGCCCTGGGTGCCAATTCCCTCTCCAGCCTGGCAGTGTTTGTCAGGTTGCTGTTGGAAGGCCTTTTCTGTGGCACAAGTATTCGCATGGTCCCGGGGCAGGACATGCCGTTAATTCTCACCCACTTGGAAGTGCTTTCTGCAAGCCTGTCTCCCCCACTACCCCCCCAGCATAACTATTGTGGGGAAATGGAGCAGCCTGGCAACTCCAGGTTGCAAAGAATTGCGAGTTTTGGTTTATAGACCTTGAAAATGGATCCAAGTCAAAGGTTTTGTTACAGGGATCCTTAAATAAAAGGGTGCCCAGCTGGAGGCAGGAGCCCAGCTGAGTGCAGGGCAGCAGCTAGAAGCTGGTGCTCCCACTTACTGTCAGATACCAACATGGTTTCTAGCAGAAACCAGTCATTTAGTCATTCTGTTATAAAATTATCTGTTGAAATATCTCCACCCAGCTTTAACAGGAGATTTTCAGTGATTTAATTGCTCGGTTGAGGTTACACTAGTGCAAGCATCCCTACTTTGGGCGAGGGGTGGGACTCTGCAAGTGCTCTGCGACTTAAAGCCAAGGTGTTTCCCCTCCTGTTCCTGATATTTTTCCTGTTGTTTCAAACAGGGTGAGCGAGGAATACCAGGGAGAAAAGGTGCCAAAGGGCAGAAGGGGGAACCAGGCCCTCCCGGACTGGATCAGCCTTGTCCTGTGGTACGTCTTTTATTTCACTTATCCTAAGCACGCGTTGCCAGGACTGAAAAGGAGACACAACTTTGCAGCCATGGAAAGGGAGGGAGGATTTGGTAGTTCTTTATTTTGCAGTAAATCAGAGCAGATGGTTATTGTTTTCTCACTTTTCTTAATGGTTTGTTTTATCTGCACTGCTGGAAGTTCACTGCTCGCTGTTAGGGTTCCTCACTGGCCAGATGGGAGCAAGCCCCAGCAGTAAAAATAAAGAATCTTTGTGTAAAGACCTTCTTATTGTAGTTGGGAACAATGGGCCTTTGGGAACAAATGCTCTTTGGGAGGTAGCATGCCCTGGTGAAGCTGCCAGCCTGGCTTTCGAGTACGTTTGAAATCAGGGAGTAACTCAGTGCAGTGGATGGGAGGTGATTTGAAAACAAGGTCAGCTCCATCCCTTCATCTCCACAAACGGAGCGAGAGATGAGCCTGGCTCTAGCTCTGCCGTGTGGGCAAGCAGGTTGGAGTTGATAGCGTCTTAGTACTGCCAAAGATAAGTGATGTCTGAGCTGGAGTTCCCCAGGCTGCCAAGAAGTGTCTCTGGGAGAAGAGACCTCCCCGTGTTTCTCCGCCTGAGGTAGCAGCTCAGATCTGTCCCTTCTCGGACACGTCCCAGGCCACCGCCGTGCAGCGTCTACACAAAGCGACTGTCCAGGAAACCTCCTGGGTGTTTAACCCTGAGGAAGGTGATCTCCCAAGTCCACTTCCAGAACATCTCATTCTTTTGAACAGGGCCCAGAGGAAAAAAAAAAAAAATCTATACTGGTTTATAAGAAGTTATTTGGCCTGGTAAAATGTACCTCTTTTTCATTACTATTTTTCAAATAAAGACTAAAACCAGAGAGTTCCTTTCCCTAAAATGCTTTGAGGCTGCAGGATAAAAGAGTGTTTTTGATCAACTGTCGAACTCCCGCCACTTCAATGTAGCTGTTAGCCCCTAGTTCAGCTGCACCTAACTAGTAGTGCCAGGTACCCGTTCCAACATGCTCCCCAAAACCCATTTCTCATATAAATGTGTGACTTTTTCTCGCCCCGCCAGGACAGCTATGGCAATCAAAGCTGTTGTATAGCTCCACTCTACCGGCAAAAAGCTCCTTTAGTCAATATATTTTATTTTGCTTGGAGATTGAATGTGAACTACAATTAATTGTTTCATTTCTGATGGATCACCTTTCCTCCCTCAACATTCTGGATGATTTAACCCTCATCTTTTTCACTGCGCCGTTACAAATGTGAATCCCTGGTTTGTGTATAGAAGATCTTTCCCAGATGACAGCCTCTATGTGTCTGTGAATCCCCTGCCATAAGACCACTCTGCTGACTTGCCGTGTCACCAGAAATGGAGGTGTAAAGTTCTGGACCCGTCCTCCTCCTCTGTGGAAACACGGGCGTTTGTTTGAGTATCTCCCGTGTCCTTTATCATTCTCAACAAGCAGTTATTTTTCCAAACAGGGAGATCGTAGCATTGCAGGCAGCAAAAGGGACCCAGGTTTACCAGGCCTGGACGGGGTGAGCGTGCCCTGCCCTGTGGTACAGTATCTGCTCTCTTTCTTGCATGGCTTGTGAGTGTTTCTGCTGTGGCCAAGCCCTGTCCCGAGGAGCGAATCCCTCCAGGGAGAGGAAGGACACCAGGCAGCAGAGCTGGAACGAGATGTTTCACTTTGGATGCCAATGTGTTGTGCCACCTTCTTCCCAGTTAAAATGACTTTAGATAAGGAGTGTAAGCAATGGGAGACCACAGAAGGGATGCTTGCCCCTTTATGATAACAGATGCTAAAAATTAGTTCTGGTTTCTCTCAGCATCTATGGCCCAGTTTGGTTCCCCTTGTGCCTGTGCTGCTGCAGCCCTATGAGTCCGATTCCCGGCGGGGCTTTGAAAAGCTTTCCTCAAACGAACGGCCAGTTCTGCAGAGCGGGGAACACCGGCACTCTGGGCATCAGAAGGGCATTTGCTGTCTCAGCACGTAGCTCTGAACCCGCAGAGCTCAGGTTGAAGTCCAACGGTTAGGCGGGAAGGTTTGTGCTCTGCTCCCCGAAAGGGCTCTGCACAACTAGCAAAAAGAGGTCATTGTTTTATTTTCATTTTTTTAACCATAGAAAATGCTGCGTGTTAGATGATTTGCAGTTGTCTTCAGAGAAACAAAAGGGCAGTAAGCTGTCTCTTTCAAAAAGTTAAATTACTTTCATATGTGTCAAAGAAAGCACTTACTAGCAGCAGGCCTGCTTCAACTCTCCGTATTTACTCCCTGGAGACGTTATATTTACCAAGTATCTCCCATCTTAACTATATAGAAAACATAAGACCTATCTGTATTGAAGGCATTGTAAACTGCAGTAGGTGATTTCTCCGATACATAACTACTACACGACTAGTTAGTGGAGCGCTTGCACATCTTCCTGCTTATGTACATGAGTGTGAGTTGCATGTTGGCTGGGAGTGTTGTCTTCGTTCTCCACCCCACCGTGTGGTCGAGGCTTGCTGGGTTCTCGGCGATGGCTTTCAGTCCAGGAACATGAGCGTGAGCCTTACACACGGGTTGCAAAGCTCTTTGTAAGTTGACAAGTCATTTTGGAATCACTCGAGTGAAACCCGGTAGAAAGGCGTGCAGTTTTACAACGGCCAAAATAAATATTTTGGGTGCACAGGAAGGTGAAAAAGCCTGGGGCAGAAATCGACCCCATGACCATGAGTGTTGGGATGCATTTTAACAGCAGGTTGGGGTCTTTCTAGGTCAATCAACTGCTCTGCGCCTTGTCCCCTCAACCCTGGACAACTCTGGCAAATGTACAAGTTGCACTTTTTTTCTTTTCATGAATAGTTATGGACCAAAATATTGACTGGTGTCAGCAGAAGAACGTGTACGTTTTCTAACTACTGTAATGTTATAGGAAAGCAAGTGAGAATAACTTGACCTGTTACACTGAGTTAGCGGGTGAGGGTAACCTTACTTCACTGCATCTGTTTTATTGGGCATAGGCTATTTTACATATAAAATCAATACAGAATACAAAAAATGTGATGACTGACATTTACAGTAAAAAATGTAAAAATGCATTTTGACCTATATTTGCACTAGCAGTTATCTCCGCTGCGTACGCATCCTCGTGGTTTCCCACCCCTAGTTAATTTGGAGGTGGCTCTGAGGGAAGGGTCAGTGCATGTGTGCTCTCTGTAGCTCTACATGCAGAAATTCATGCAATCAGAGATCCAAGAGCTTTAAAAAAATCCAGCATCAGAAAAGGCAGCTGAAGTCAGCTATATCTTCTAAAGTATCTTGAAAGAGTTGGTCATACAGAGTCCATTCCTCTTCTAAGGGGCTCCTTCCTTTTCAGTGTTTTCCTCCTGGTAAGTAAGCTCTTCTGGCTTTCTGATTTCTGTATGCTTCTTGCATCTCCATCAGAAAAAGACAAATATTTTCACTCCCTTTGCATAGTCCACAACTCATCCTATTTCAGTCAGTTCAGCAACTCAAGACTTCTTAAAGAAACTAAGTACTGCAGGATCCAATTTAACACAATTAGGATATCATTCAGGGGGAAAAAAAAAAAATTACATCACCACCCCCAAACTGAAAAGCACATATTAACAAAAAAATACATTTCCACATCATGCTTTCCATACATATGTCTGATTGCGAAAACCACTACCTTATAAAGCAGATTATGGAGTTAATTAACTGTGGTTCCAAATTTTGTATTTGTTCACGTTTTCTTTTTTGTTTAAAGGAAAAAGAAAGTGTAGGTTTTTTGTTTGCCTCTTCTTCCCCG